AATCGCTGCAACTGGTCTACAAATTTAAAGAACTTACTGAATAAATCAAGTTAATTGGGAAAATAATTTCTATCTGTGTGCGTGTGTGTTGCGGGTGTGCCTATTTTATTGTGAGTGGCCACTACTTCTTTTTCGGCTTATTTCTTTCGGCAATTGAGTAATTCTTGTCCTCGAATCTTCTCATCGGAAGATACTCTTCCAAAAGGAAACTTTTGAAGAAGAAGTTATCTTTTCACTGCTTTCTCTCTCTTACGTTCCTCTTATTGCCATCATTTGTGAGGAATCAGTTGGAGGACATCAGTACTCCAAAATGTGACATTGTGTCTACCCACATTTGCTTCATTCGAATGTCTGAAATAACAATAATAGCATACCTCTTTTCCTGCCAGTTTTATATTCCAGCTTTTACAGTTTCACTATTTCCAATTCACTTAGTGCATTCCATTCTACCAACTGTTTGCTTAGATGAGGTATTCGCCTAAAGCGATTTATTTTCAGCGTGATAAGCCTTTCAGTAAAAGCTGGCACTTATTAATCAGGTTTATAATTAGATCCGCACTAGTATTACGTCATGCTAAATTATATCATGGATTTAATACTAACCGTAATAAAGGCTTATGCCAGGATGAACTGCTTAGAATTATTTTGTTATATTCTTACCAGAATAGTAGTCTTTTTTCAGCGATAAAAAATTCGGATGAATATTTGCCCAACAAAGTAGGTAAATATTGCCAATTATCGTAAATAATATATTTTATTAAGTTTTATATGGTATTAGACAGATTATATTATTATACCATCCTTTATGTCTTTATTTAGGATCGCCAACAATTCACTGTTAAGCAGAAGCTTGTTTCAGCAGAACGGCCCAATGGTGAGCCCATATTTTCTCTTTCCGTATCATATCCGGAGAATATAGATGTTTTGATAAAATGTATTACCTTGGTATGATGATCATGTGCCCCTGATTTTTCTCAATCTATTTCTTCTCTTTTACATAGTTTTCATTTTAGCCTAGAATTGTAGGTACTAATTATTATAATTTACTTCGCTCATTCTTCGGCATCACTCAAACCTTCGGAGTTAGTTTTGTCCAACCTCCAGCTATCCTTAATCTGTGAATAAACTTCTGAGCCAATCGCAACACGGAATTTTAGGTCTAAGAGGCAGACTGAAATTGCTTAATTAAATTCTGTTGAATTTGCAGCTTTTGCGGGAATAAATGATGACTCTAAAAGTTGAGTCTATGCAAGTCGGTTGTATATACTTCTTAGTTTCGAATAGTTATTACTCGAAGTAACTTCAAGTAGGTCATTCTCTCCATTTGCATATAATACAAAAGGCTCGCTGCAGAGTTTTGTGAAAATATTCATAAAATAAGATTGAATATTAATTGTTGGCATGTCTGCTATTGAGAGGTAAATGATATTTTAGCTATGGTTATATAGTGCCTATCGGACCGTAATAGGTCTGTCATTGCAAGTTCCATTCACATTTTAATATTTATCTTTATCCATTTGTCTCAATCTCTAAGTGCCTTTGTATTTGGCAACTACGGGCACAACTTTCTCTGCAGCTGGAGACTCAGCTTGTGCGGCAAATTTTGCATGAAGTGAAAATGAGAAGAAATGTTATAAACAAGTGCCTTTCAGAACTCCCTTTTGTGTCGATGAGGCAGAGTGGACGCCGCTGGTCAGTGAGAATGTCGACTACGTCTCCAAGGCACCAGTTGTCTTGAGGCCTAAACTGTCCGTCCACTCGATCGAGGACGGTGGTTTCGAGTTGGT